CACTCCTTTCCTCTCCCTTCTACTTCATACCATCCTTCCTTTGCTCAGGCCTCTAGCCACAGCGTCTGTGGTCCATCGCAGACATTTCTGGGCCCCTGCAGAAAGGCAGGGACTCCTTTAGGACAGGCTGGCCGCCTGTGCGTTGGAAGACCCTGCTGCTGTGGGGTCTGGAAGAGGGGCTAAAGCCCAACCTAGGACTGAGTCACAGCCGGAGGCCAGGGCAAGGAGCTGCAATCTCAGGCCCCTCCAGCACCCACACCACCTCCCACCACCAGTGCACAGCAGAACGGCCTTGTCTGCGCCCTGCAACAGGAGGCAGCCATTGAGCAGGCTGGGGGCAAGTCATGCCCAATGGACGCTGATGCACAATGTTCTTCTCCAGCCCTCCTGGGCCCCAGCACTGGAGTCTGAGGTGCACACTGCCACCTAAACAGAAGTGGGTGAGCAGACTCTGCCAACCCAGGATGCCTCTGATGGGCAGAGCCACAGCACAGGAGAGGCTGAGAGCAGAGCGCTCTGGCCCAGCCTCAGCTCCAAGCCAGCATCATCCTCAGACCAGGGTGGATGCTGACTAGGCCTGGCTTCTATACTCCTAGCTGGGCCTCAGCACAAGGACTGTGCCCGCCACATGGGGGTCCCCGTGGCCGCACAGACAAATGCAGGACTGAGCTGGGGCCGGTCCACCTGAGATTGTCCTCTGAGAGAAAAAGCCGTGGAATCTGAGTCCCATCTCTTTGCCCCCAGCTTCCAGGACCGGGAAAAGCTAAATCTGAGCCAGCCAGCTGTGCTCTCACACACACACACACACACACACACACTTCACATATGTTGGTGCAGCACATGCATGCTGCCATGCACACATGCACCACACACAGCACAGCCTGTGTGCACACACAGGTACACATGCCAGCTCCTGCGTATGTTCACCTGCTCTGGCACGAATGGCCACAGGTGGGTCCAGAGGCAGTGTCCCTGTGCAGCTTCACAAGACGCCAGGAGGGTACCACATCCCACAGCTGCTGACCTCACACAGCCCAGGAGCCAGGACCAAGGGCGGCACGTGCTTGCTGAGTCAGTGAGAGCATGTGGGTCTGGGCCCTGCTGTGGATCCACCTCAGAGATGGAGCCAAGGAGGCCCTGCCCACCGCAGTGCAGGATGGACAGGAAGCAGCTGCATATGAGCAGCCCGGGATCAGGAAGCGCCCTCAGCCACGGGCGAGAGAAGACCTGAGTCCAGGCCAGCGTCTATGGGAGGAAGCGCCTGGCCGGTCCAGAACTGTGGCTGAGATGGAGCAAGGGTGCAGCTTGCTGCACGTTTGGAAGCGGAAGCACGATTTCACAGCCACACAGGAGCAGAGCCATCATGCGGTGCCCTCCGTCACCGAAGCTCCAACTCAAACTGAACACTGTGCCCGGGACAGGCGAGAGAGTTCATTTCAAGAGAAACATGCCCGTGAAAGAAAGAAGCAAGTTGCTAATTAAATCCTCTGTAAATTTGGTGCAAGGTTAAACGAAAACTCACAGACTCGGCATGTTGGTGCAGAGAGGTTTTTTCTGGAGCTCTGCTAATTGGGTGCAGTGGACTTGTTTAGCCATGACCTGGGGCCCTGCTCTGAGTGGGGATCCCCAGGGAAGCTGGGGAGCCGCCTTGCTCCTGGAGGTCCGGCCCGAGGAAAGCAGGAATCAGGCAGACATGGTGGCACTGTGGGAGCCCGCATGGGGCCCCACGTGTCCTGGACCATGGGATGGACAGGAGGGCGCAGGTGACGGGCACCCGAGGTGCAGCCTGCATTCCAGGGTGCTGCAGGAGGAAGAGGAGAAGCAGGAAGGGCATCAGCATGAGGGACCAGCCACCACACAGCAGCTCTGCCTGGCCCTCACCCGCACCCCCGAGCTGCCCAGGGCTCTGCCCCAGAGCCCAGCTTCCTGGCTGCATTCCCAGCTTCCTGGCTGCATTCCCAGCTTAGAGACACCAGCTCCTGCCTGCCTGTTGCTGCCGGCCCACTGTTCGTCACCCTGTCCGCTGGCCACCCACCAGCCTGAGGCCAGTGAGTGAGGCACACAAGCATGTAGCCGGTGTGTCCAGTGGGTGTGTGTGAGCTGGTGTGAGCACACACTCCCTATGGGTGTGCCTCCACGTGTGAACATGTGCCCGGGTATTAAGTATTTATATCACATACATAAGGTAAAGACAAAACAAAGTATTTTTTTTCAAAAAGGTATTGTTCCAAAACTCATATTTGTTTCTTAAAATGTGTGGCAAAATAAAACCTACAACAAATATATGGAAATTTTGAATCAGCATTATTTTAATAAAGCTGGCCTCTTAGTTTAATTCTTGGAAAATTAAATCGCTACTTGGAAGTGACCATTTTCTTTGTTTTCCAGAATCACTGCCACCCCATGAGCAGGAAGGGCAGGTTGGTCTGACTAGTTTATTTGTCCCTACACCTGGACCACCAACGCTGGGGCCCCTATGTGCATTCATACATGGAGTATGTGCATGTGTGCGCGTGACAATGTCTGTGCAGAGGCCAGGCCTGGCCATGTTGTGGGGCCCAAGGCTGGTCCCCCATGAGTGGTACAGGCATGGGTGCCTGGTGCAGGCTGGGCTGCCTGGGGCAAGAGGTATGCTGCCTGGGTGTGTCATGGGGTGTCCCCCCAAGGCCTCACTGCACCCGTGTGTACATCTGTAATGTGTGCACCAGTGGACATGCCTGCGTGCTTGTGCAGGGTGCACACGTACGAAGTGTCTGGGAGCATGGAGGTGAGCCCCGTCTGGAGGGGACACATGCGTGCTCTTGTGTGTACATGTGTGTGTGTGAACAGGAAGGACGTGGGTGCTGAGCAGCAGCACCCACACTGCCCACTGGGCCCTGTATGTGAAGCTCAGCTCCACAGTGTTTCTGTGGCATCCATCTGTCCCTTCTTGTCACAGCCAGCTCCCCAAGCGCAGCCCCACCCCACCTCAGCAGCCCCCCCAGACCGAATGTGGACGCCCTGCCCTCCAGGGCCCTGGCTGTCTGAACCGCAGGATGCTCTTGTCCCACCACGGTAATTTCAACCTTTAGGGGAGCTGTGTTTCTGTTTGCCTTTGTTTTTCAGCTTTCGGTAGTAGTTATTAATGTTTTTCATTTCCTCAAAAATTACAGCTGTTGCAACGTTCGTGGAGTTAATTGTTACCATTCAGCAGCTGGCGTGGCAGTTTAGCACCTGCTAATAAAAGACGTGGAGTGTGGAGTTTGGGGAAATGACCAGATTGTGTGTGTCACCCTGTCACTCTGAGGCAACAGGGAATTACAGAGGCAGAGCCCAGCGGGGCGCGCTGAGTGCCTCCAGGGCACTGGTCCATGTGGTCTGAGGCACACCCAGGACACCAGACCTCCACATGCATGGTGTTTCCTGCCTGACATGCACCAGAGGGCATCGTCCCAGGGCAGGAAATGAGGCCCATGAATGTCCACCAGGCACGCAGGTGGGCACAGGCAGCAGGGGACACAGGGACCCTGAGCTGGTATCATGCTGTCATCACAGCTTGGCCCTCCTGTGTCTGGGGCCACATCCACCACAGCTGGCTGAGTGGCTGGCCCAATGGCTCTCGGATCCCCACACTCACAGGGCCCTGCAGGCTCAACCTGTGCCAGTCAAAACACCAGAAGACCCCCTCCTGAGCCCCCAATCCCCCAAGGCTGAAATCCTGAAAGTTCTGAATCCTCAAAATCTAAAATCCCCCAAAATTATCTCCTCAAAAGATTAAAACCTGACATTGAAATCCTAAAGCCTGTCACTCTCTCCAATAAAGACTAAGAGTGGAAAAATGAGTGTTCTGGAGAAGGGACGTGTCTGAGATGGGCACTGGAGTCAGAGGGGGCTGAAGGACAGGACTTGCACAGTGGGTGTGGCCCCCAGGTGAGCCCAGTCTCTCCTAAGGGAAAGGAAGCAGCCAGCCAGGTGTCACTACACACAACCTCAGGACACAGTCCACAGCCACGAGCGACCACTCCTGCCTCCGCCACATCCTGTCCTTGGAACTCGCATTTTAGGGCAAAGGCTTTTAATTTGGGGTGCTCTTTTCCTCCTTTTTGTCCTTTTTGCTATTGCTGCTTTCGGTTTTCAATTGTTTTTTCACTATTTTAAGTAGCCAGCTTTTTAAATAATTCACTGTGCTCTGTTGTATCCACGCTCATTTTCAATACTGGAGATGTAAACGTTTAGAGGGTTTTAATTCATTTTATGCTTTTTTATTTTCCAATTTGACTCCAGGAAAGTGCATTATCACACAGTTGGCTCTGTGGGTAAACGTGTATGTGCACCTCTGTGTGTGTGTGTGTGTGTGTGTGTGCGCACGCGCACACACGCATGCACGTGCATGTGTATAAAAGCATGGAAACTTCCTCAGTAAATGAAAAGAGGCCCTTTCCATGCCTGTACATTTTTGAAAGATAACATTTCCCAAGATGTCAGCTGCTTAGGTGACCATCAGTGCTTTCGGGCACCTCATCAAAGGCTTGGGCGGCCATCCCTGTGTTTCAACACCACAGCCTCAAAGTGGCACCCTCGGCAGCGGGCCACGGGGTGAGGCTTACCTGGCTCGCACTTGCCCCGAGGCTTTAAGAAACAGTTCACCGGTTCACCTCTGTTCTCCGTGGCTGTCTCGGGCACCCGAGCTTTTACACAGGCAAAACAGGTGCACAATTGTGGCCTCCATTATCCTGTAAAGTGACCCATGAAACGTCATGTTTCTCAGGTAACCTCACAAGGTAAACATGCAAATAAATGTCTTTTAAAGAATTCTATTGTTACTTTTTCCAGAATTTACTTCAGGGATTTTGATCTTTCCAAACTTCCACACTGGGATGATGGCATCCAGGATGTGTCTTTGGGATCACAGAAAGCCCACTCAGCACCTCTGCTGCTCAGCCCCTTTTTGCTGTGTGCCAGGCCCTAAGGAATGCAGCCTTCTCCTGCCCCTCTCACCCAGTCTGGAATCACAGAGCTCAGTGCCAGTGCGTGGCCAGGTGCGGAGAACCAGTAAGCGGTGCTCCCTGTCCTGTGGGTGCTGATCCTCTGCCACGCCAGGGGTGGGCAACGGGCCGAGCTGCTGCCAGGTGGACACAGACACCTCCTTCTCCAACACGGAGCCCAGGCAGTCATGGCTGGCTGGGGAAGACATGGCAGTGAGGGGAATGAGTGAGGCAGACACAGGGTGGGGCGCCCAGGAGCAGCACCAGTGGATTTCACTGCCCCCGAGGAAGGCACACAGTACCTTCACTCACGTCCCCTGCTGCCAGATGCAGTGGCTGCAGCCTGTGCATGGCTCCCTGACCGGCACAGTCAACCAGCTACCAGCACTGGCACCAACCCCCAGGCTGCTGGGGTGGTGTGAGAGCTGGCAGGAAGCTCTGCTCTTGCGGAAGGACCTGCTGCCACCAGAACAGGACGGCAGGGGCACACAGCTGACCACCACCTCCCACAGTACTGCCTTTTCAGCAGCCCACGCTTCCTGTATGGCTCTGCCAGGGCCTCCTGCCCTCTGGGGAACCTGGCTCTGAGGCTCCCTCCCTGGTGTCACCTGTGCACATATGGGCCAAGCCCTATGCTGCACTGGGACCTTGAGCCAATGTTACTGCTCTTGTCTTCAACCTTCCCAGGTATCCTTATTCTACTTACAGGTCAGAAATGGACACTTGAGGTCACAGCTAGGGCAGAGCTGGGTTGGGGCTGTGTCAGTTTCCCAGGGCTGCTGCACCCATGACTGCAAACTGTGTAACTTCTCTCAAGGATGACACAAAAGTGCTGCAGGGTGGGTATGGAGGGGACCCAGCCCCGGCCTCTCTCCAGCCCCGGGGCCTCAGCCACCTTGATGCCCCCTGGCAGGTGAAGCATCACTCTGGTCCCTGCCTCGGCCCCTTCTCTCTCAGGAGGACATTGGGAGGGATCTAGGGCCTGCCCACGTGATCCAGGGCAACACCATCTAGAAACCCTTAACTGCAGTGAGAACGCCTCACAAGTCCAAGGGAGCACTGTGTGGGGCATGAGACAACCTATCATGGGCCCCCAAGATGGATCGCATGAGGGCTCACACAGCCCTGGGATGGAGCCTTGCAGGGTTTCCTGTCCACAGGGTGGGGCTTCCAAAAGGTGGCCCTGCAGCTGCTGAGGCCCAGCCTTTCCACACAGGCTCCCTCGGGCTGAGGCCAGAGCTCTGGCCATTCACACGCCTGTGCAGGGGAGGCTGGATCCAGGAGGGCATCCAGACTGTGGACTGAACAAAGCCCAGAACAGAGCAGGGCCAGGCCCGGGTGACCCAGAGATCAACCAGGAAGGAAGGACCCAGACCCAGGACTGGGAGCACTAGAGTCAGGCAGTAGGAGCAAGCAGAGCCTGGGTTGGAGACCAAAAATGGTGCCAAGGCAGGAGGGAAGGCCAGAAGTCAACTCGTGGACCGCTCTCCTAGGTGCTGTCAGTTCTCATCTGGGTAGCTCATGCACAGGTGATCAGCTTGTGGAGAGAGGCGTATCCAGTTCATGGTTCCGGAAGCTCCAGTCTGTGGAACAACGTGGCAAGAGCACACAGTGGGCAAAGCTGCTCACCTGGTGGAAGGGAAGCAAGAAACAGGAGGGTCACACAGTCTCCTCCGAGGATGACCCTGTGACCTCTGACCTCCAGCAGGCACCCCCTCCCATCAGCGCCCCGCCAGCGGAATGTTTCAGACCCAAATAGCCACAGAGTAGCTACCATCTCTGGGACGTGAGGTGCTTTTAAACAAGTCCAGGCCTTTCCCACTTGGAAAGATGAAACTTGTATACAATATGTTCGGTTCATGCACACACAGTGAATGGCCACAAAGAGGGTTATTAAAGTAGGTATGGACTTCATCTAACCCTCCATGAGGTTGGCTGATTATACTTTAAAGGGGACTGGGCCTGCATGAGCCTGAGCAAACCAGCTGCTCTGTGCCTCGGGCCGAACTTGGCGCCCATGCAGTGGGAGAGGGAGGAGCAGCACAGTCACCAAGCTGAGGGGAGAAATGGAGTGTTGGGCCCAGCAGCTGCCAGGCCCTGGTGAGCATCTGGGGACTTGTGACTATCAGAGTGCTCCGTGCTGGGTTTCTTGAGGGCAGCACCCCCTGAATAGGTGGCCCAAATGTCTGCTCCCCACCCCAACAGGCTGAGGGGAAGGGCCCCTCTCCCCCTCATTTCCAGCTCACCAGGTAGCAGCAGTCACCTGGGGACTGAGGTGGTCAGCATAGGTGTGGGATTCCCACGGGGCTTCAGACCAGGGCCGCAGCTGCAGGGGTGCCCATCCAGAAAAGGATCTGGGGAGTCCGGCAGACTCAGCCCCACAGCCTGGGGAGGTGTATGAGTCCTTCCTGAGCCCAACCCATGCACAGCTGCAGGCACTGCAGGTCGGTTAGCCTCCTCGGACACTGACACTCGCTCCTTCCCAACCACCAGGGAGGGTGAGAAGGGAGCTCAAAGTGGCTGCTGCCAGCTTAAGGGTACGGGACTCTCTTTGCAGATGATGAAACCATTTTTGGAACTTGGTAGAGGGACAGCTACGCAACCTTGTGAATCCACCGAGTGCTACTGAAATGGATATTTCAAAATAGTTAATTTTATGTTATGTGCATTATGCCACAATTACAAAAATTTTTAAAGTGGCCTCAAGTCAAATCTTAATGGACCTTGGAGACAGTTTGGCCATAATATTAGCAAATACCCAGGGAGCCAGTCTTTGCACACTTCAGCCTCGAGACCTGAGTCCCCAGAACCTTCTGGGAGTGAGGGGCTGAAATTACCCCTGAAAGGGGACAGAGTGCGGGGTCCACATACTCACCTCTCCCAGCAGTGGCCCAGCTTGTGGCTCAGCTTCAGACTCCCAGAAACTGAGTAGAGCGCTCAGCAGGGACCTGAGCAGTACCCTGCTTCCTTTAGGTGCAATGAGATGTTCCCTTCGGAGCTCCTGAAATGTGGGTACTCAGTGGTTACTAAAACCAAATGAGGTTTGGTTTTACCAAACAAAATGAGGGAGAGCGTTAGCAGAGGGGACACTGGGTCCCCAGAGGTTGCTGTGAGCTCAGCCGCCCTGACTGCCTGCTCATCCTCGGGCCTCAATGCCACACAGAGAGGCCTGTAGAGTCCCTAGGCTGAGTTCCCTGCCATCCTCAGAGCTGAGCTGTGGGCTAGAGGAGGCGTGATGAGGCTGCCAGCGTGTGTCACGGACGAGCAAAGATTACACATGAAGTCCCTCTGGTCCGGATTCTGTGCCGAAGAAATGACTCATTACAAGCAGCAGAACCTTCAAGTCAGACAGATGGGGAAAGACTCTGAAATGTGCTTTCCCGCCCAATTTAGAATAATTGCAATCCACTACTTTAGGGCATCAGGCACTCAGCATCTAGTGAAATGCTGGGGGTGAGAAGGGGAGCGTTTTCTGGCAAATTAAGATGAAGCTGAAAAGGCCAGTTTGCTGGCTCCTGTTCAGTATTTGTCATCCTCCCTCATCCCTGCAAGGCTGCATCCGGCAGCTCTTCACAGAAGCGCCAATCAGAAGCCCACACTGACGAACAGGACTGGAACTGGAGGTCATGCATGCCGGACAGGGCAGCTCCATCCCTCCTCCACCCCTGCTGCCCACACTGCCCTACTGAGGGACACTGGCCTCGCCTGGCTCCCGCTTTCCCAGAATGTGTCCAAGCCACTCTGAAGTCGTCTTCATCCAAACTGGCAATGCGATTTGCTAGAGGCTCAGAGGAGGATGTGAAGAAGTGGGAACAGAAGTAGGAAGTCTGCCATGCCCACCACCTCACATTACAGATGGGGAAACTGAGCCCCCTGCCCAAGGAAGGGGCACCCTGGTGAACCGCCCCCAGCTTCCTCCCTGACCTTGTGCTTTGAGTCTGCTCTGACAGCTTGCCAGGCGGAGCCAGGAGGTTCTGGTCCAAACCATTCCTGTTCCTATTTGATTTGCACCAATTCCCACAAATTCCAAACAATTCAATCAGAGCTATGAAAGCAAAGACCAGGGAAGACACCAGGCCAGGCATCTTCTGCTAAACTCCAGGTCCTCTGAGCAAGCGGGGACCCGAGATCTCCCAGGAGAGCCCAAGAACTGGGAGGTGTCAGACATGGCTGGAGGGGACCCAGAAGGCTAGAGCCACCGGCTTGATGTGAGCATCAGTGGCTCAACCTGCTCAAGCTGTGAGGGACCAAGGGACAGCTGGCATTTTTCCCCAGGCTGTGTCACTTCTCACACAGTGGGGCTCTCTGCATCCCCCCGCCAGCCCTCATGGGAGCCTGCTGCCCTCCTCAGCTTGGCTTTCCTTCCCTCCCACTATGTTCCAGCCACTGGGGTCTGTGCCCTTGGCCATCAGGAGAAAAAGGAAGGGCTGAGCAGAGCTCTGCTCCTTCAGTGTGTAGAGAGAGAGGAGACCCGGGAGGCCAGGAGTCAGCCTTGTGTCACTGCTACTGCATCACACACCCTCCATGCCAGGCCTTGTCACACAATAGTCAGGTGCCACATCAGAGCCTGCCAGATTGGGGCTTCCTAGAGGAGTCCACAGCATGGGACACACCTGTCCATGGAGGGCCATTCACTGTCGGAAGCAAACACCTATAAGCCAGGGAGAGCAGCAGCCCCCAGCCCAGAACGGAGCCGTGTTATAATGGGTGGTTCTGGCCAATGCTTAGCTGTGGCATTACGGTTATCAAAGTGAGATAGTTTTGTTGGGCCAGTTTCCAGAAGGGCAGGTTCCTCACTGATTGGCTTTTAGGAGGACAACATTGTCACTGATTCTCTGGCTTCCAGAAGAGTGGGGCTCTCATTCAAGATGGTTCTTTGAAGGGCAGGCTCTTCTGGATTGGCTAAAGGGTAGAACTATTACAGATTGGCTGGCTTTCAGAAGCATTTGTACTAGGGAAAGCTGTCAATCAACCAGCATGGGTTTAAACATGGCACCAGTGGCTGGTTTTTTATTATGGTCAGAAAACCACAAGCATTTTCCTAGAAGGATAGACACTTATCTTCACCTTTGTGAGCAAAGGTTTCCAACAACACCATGGGTTGTCTCCCTAGCCCACCAGTACCTCTGAGAGCAATCCCAGCCCACAATCTCACAGGTTAGGTTGGTCTAGCACTTGTCTGGGCCCAGTGCCAACCATGAAAGGCAGCACTTTCTTTACTATTGGGATGCAGCCTGGGCTAGGTAACATCATCAACCCACAGCCAAGGACAGCCTTGGGCCAGCTCTTGAATGCTTCCTTCTGAGTTTTAGAAAGCCCCATTTACCTGTCTTTAACTAGAGGCAACTATAACTCCCCTGCATGGGACTATTTTGAGAACTCCATGAGACCATGGACATGTGTGAGGGCTTAGTCACAGAAGCCACCAGGAGGACCTTTGTGGCCACCAGCAAGAGTGTCCAACACAGACACTCACACGGGAGAAGAGGATCTGTCCCTGCTTTTAGTCCTTCTGGCCAGCTGGCACCTGACCTCGGCGTGGCAGCCTGCTCTGAGGAACACCCTCCCTGAGACCCGGAGGACAGCTCCCTTACCTCTCTCTTCCTGCTGCCCTGACCAGCAGTTCACATCTAGAGAACCTGTCACAGGACTGGAGGCTGCTTTTGCTAAACGACTGATCTTCACTTGGGCTCACAGATGCCCGGAGGGAACAAGACCAGGATAAGAGCCTGTGTTGCTGCCTTTGTGCTACATCTGTCTCCTTCGCTGCCATGAACCTTTGCGCTGAACCCAGCTCACCTCTGTACCAAGCAAGGAGATCAGTTAAGGGGTGTGTGGATTGCGGGGGGGTCACTCACCTCCAAGGCTGACGGCACAAGGGGAGGGTAACAAAGGTATTTTTGAGATTTGCAGGGACATCATAATCCACAGATTGTCAACTACCAGCTTTATAACATCCTGTTCCAGACTGGAGCAGTGCCCAGAAGTTGCTAGTCATTGCCCTAAACCTGCCAGGAAAGGGAGCCTCACAGCAGATCACCCCAGAAAGCAGAAGCCATCACCTCACTGGGAACACAACCACCCCAGCTGGGGACTGCGTCTTCTCCAACCTCACAGAACCAGAACCAAGGGAATCATCCACCAGACCATTAGACTGGCTGCTTCACACGCAGCTCTCACTGCGCCCAAGTCTTCCCTGACCTAACCCTGAAGCCGGGTCAGGGCACCAGACAGGATGAGGAGCCAGGGCCATGGTGAATGTTGTATTTTTGTCCTAAGTCACCTTTACCTTTTTCCATTTGCATGTGGGGCAAGTGGCCAGAGCCATGTTGCAACTCCCCAAAGTCGGGCTCCCCACTTTGGCCCTGGACTTCAGCAGGATACTCCGCTCTGACCAGGCTGGCCCCATGGCCTGCGATGCTGCATCTGATGCCAGCATTTGTGCTGGGGAAGAATTAAAGCTGATCACGTTTTGTACCTAACATGCAGTGACATCTTTTGAATCTCCACATATTGCTGTTTTCACTGAGCCACATGTAACACTTCAGAGTGCCAAATGCTTTTTAAAAAATAGACCTGGCTCTGAAAGTGCTACAGAATAACATGGAGGGAATATGGCTTTTATGAAAACACAAAATGGTAACCCTCCCCTCCCCCCGAAAAGAATCACAGGAACCCTTGGGGAAAGATGTTTTGCAAAGAGAAGTTCGCTCTGGGTGCACAGTTCGAGGGCAGAAGCTCTCAGGGAGCAGTGAGTCGCCTGCTTTCTGGTTCTGTAAAGTCTCCTGCCCAGTCGCAAGCTGGAGAGAGGAGACTGGCCTCGCTCTGTGCCACATGGCAGAGCCCTGTCCCCTGGTGCCCGGCAGGGTCAGACAAGCAAAGCAGAGGTGACCTTGGAGGCCCAAAAAGTAGAAGCCATGCCCAGGGGATCCTTGCTCACTCAGCTGGCTCAGCTCAGGCCCAGCTCTCCACCACCGGCCCATCTGGCCCCAGGCACAGCCGTCTTGGAGGATGCAGGAAGAGCTCCCGGGGTACAGCCAGCCACCACATACCCATCCCTGCCCCTCCCGCTGTTCTTGCTCCCTGCTGTGGAGACCGATGCACTGTCCCACAGGTGCACACACATCTGGAATTGACCTCCACAGGAGACCAGCGCGCTGGGTCAGAGCCCTCAGTCTCTCGCTCACCATAGTTCCTCGCTACACAGGCTTCCTTGTGCCCTCACATCCCAGACTGAGTGGGGTCCTCTCTGCCCTCCCACTTCCCCCAGCTCCTTGCTCCATCAGACTGCTGTCTCCTCAGATCTCCATGTTTCCTTTCCTTCTGGGGGGGGGGCGGGTTCCGGTGATTGAACCCAGGGCCTTTGCCCTGAGCTACATCCCCATCACTTTTTATTTTATTTATTTATTATTTTGAGTTAGGGTCTCACTAAGTTGCTAAGTTGCCCAGGGTGGGCTCAAACTTGCGATCCTCCTGCCCCAGCCTCCTGAGTGCTAGGATGACAGGTTAAGTTCTGGGTTTTTGTTCTTTTGGGTTTTTTTTTACGGTTTCCCCTCATCTTGTATGTACAGTCCCTTCTCTTTCACCTTAAAAAAAAAAAGCAAAAGACAGAAACAGTAAAAAGATTAGTGGTTGCCAGGAGTTAGGAGGAAGGAGAGTGGAAGGGAGGGCACACAGCACTGTGGGTTTGCCGAGGGTCCGGAGTGAGAGCTGCAGGGTGAGCCCGGAGCAAACGCCAGGCTCTGGCTAATGGCATAGCTTGTCGGCTGTGGCGTAGACAGCACACTGAGGCAGGGTGCTAACGATAAAGGAAGCCTGTGTTCGGGGCATGAGGGGAGGAATACGGGGACACTCTGTGCTCTCTGCAATCCTGAAAACAGTCTATTAAAGAACAAACAAAACAAGAGAAAAAGGATCTTCCCCAGGTGATTTCATACACACATGGTGCAGTGCGTGTGGTGCCCCAAGGCCAGTGAGAGGACATTTTGAGCTGGAAGCCGGCCCCTTGGAGGAAGCAAAGGTCACAGGCTCCGTGGATTTCCACCAGAAAGGCACACGGTATCTGTACTTACCAAGAGCGAAGAGGCCAGCACACAGAGCACAGAGGTTCACCTTAGAGGGAAGAGGCCCCTCAAGAGACCCTCATCCGGGCCCCCGGATGTCGGAAGCTGTGGGAGGGTATTTCAGCCACTATGCTTGTGGTCATTTGTTATGCAAAAAGTCAGCTGTTGCTACAAATAACAAAAGGCTATGTCCAGTTAAAACTGGACTGTGGTGCATTTCTACCCAGGGTTCCTCCTGTCTTGCGGTCATTCCTCTCCTAAGGATGGGAGGACTCCCCCAGAATCATTTAACAAGCTGCCTGGAAACATGTGTCCCCCAGGAACAGCCTCAGAAGTCAGGGAGCTTCAGCACTGTTTCCCTCAAATCACAGTGGAAACACGCTAAGGTGCTGAACAGTAAAATCAAACACTGCCTTTACAGTGTCCTCTAGCCCCCCAAATGGGCTGTAAGGTAGGGTCTGACTGTGATTTCTTCTCCAAAAGGCAGCTGAGCAGGGGAGAAGCTGACCCCAGCTCCGAAGCTGGCTGCAGATCATCAGCTGGGCTCCTCCCTGAACAAGCTGCAGAGCCCTTCTCAGCCCCGTCCTCCCATCCTAGGGAGAAAACATTAACTTGCAAGGCAATGATGATAAAATGTGAGGAAAATAGAAAGTTGCAGAATAATGGGAACCTATGCTAGGTGTTTAACAAAAAGCAACTAATATTTCAATAAGGTTTTTTCATCCTAAGAAATCTTGAGTTTAGTTTAAATAGAGAGAATTTATGGTTGACCATCCCAGCAATTTTTCAAAGTTATAAAGTGTAAAGGAAGTGTGGGTCAGTGAGTAGGTGGGTAGGTACAGAACACGAATGGGTGGAGGGTGAAGAGTGGGTACTGGAGAAATGGCTCTGTGGACAAAGCGAGGAGCGGGTAGGCAGTGGGTGGAAGGAAGAAAGGATGAGTGGGTAGTGGGTGATGGGTGATGGGTAGGTAATCGATGAGTTATCTGGTGGTGAATGGACAGGTTAATGATGCATCTGTGGATGGCAGTGCACCTGTTCACATGGTTTTCAGGACCCAGACCTTTGAGGCCAAATGGACCTGTGGGACGGTAGCACCAGTCCACTGAAGTCAGCCTGGTGGAGAGACAGGCACCTTGGAAAGAGCAGATCAGAAGAGCACAATTGGATGCAACCCGAGGGCAGGCTCAGAGAAGAGTGATGCTCTGTGGCCAGATTCATGACCTCATGGGCTTGTGCCCCATGTCCTCTGGAGAGAGAGCTACTGCTACAGCAGCTCAACTGGAAAGGGACTGTTTTCTAACACTTCTAGGCCCGGTGCTCAGGCTCCTACCCCCATCTCTACTTCCATTGGTCAGGTGTCTCTCAGTGAACTGTGAGATCCCAGGCTTTAGGATCCCCTCTCCAGTTCCCAGCCGGAATCCTCCATGTGGAGACAGTTCCCTGGCCACAGGGCAGAGCAGATCACAAGAAACAAGGGCAAGGGGCACCCCATCCCTCTGGATGAAATGCAGTCCTACAGTCCTTTCCCCGGAGCCTGGTCCTCCAGGACACCCAGGAGCAGAAGAGAGAGGCATGGCTCCACCCCTGGACCATCCCTGTCCTCTTCCTGCCATCCAGGACACTGTGTGAGTGGCTACACAGCCAGGGCCCAAGGATGAAGAACAGGATGGGTATGGGGAGCAAAACCGAAGATCCTCAGACAGGGGAGGCCCACAGCGTGGAGCAGATTGGATTTGGGTCCGTGTGGTTGGTGGGATGGAGGGGGTGGCAAGGACATGAAATGTGAGCCCATCTTTGAAAGATCTCAGGGTGAAAATACATCATCTTTTAATTAAAATTTTACTGAATTTTAACTTGAATTTCCCCATCTGCTTCCCTAATTATGCCTAACCCTAACCTCACTCCGAGCCATCTGTGTTCTTAGCTCATTATACTGGGGTTTTGTGTGTGTTTGTCCAATTCCTGTAGGAAGCAGCACGTCCCTCATGCGGAGGGACCGAGGCTGTGGCGTGGGGGTCCTGCAGGGCCGTGCCGAGCAAATGTTCTGCCTGGACGGATTGGCAGGTGCACAGGTGCAAACAGATGTGAGACAATGGGGTGAAGGAGATGGTGGATCCCAGCTCCCTGCCAAGCCACCTCTCATCCCGTTGCTGTCATCTTGGTGGGAGCCCACAGCTGAGGTCAAAGGAGGTGTGCAAAAGGAACGTGTTCCTCTCACACCACACACATCCTGCAGATTTCCTTAAACACCAACATTTTTCATGAGTCATGGATGTGTTCTCTGCTGACTGATTCCCATGGAAGTTGGCAGATACAGAGCTTGGTCTGGGGCTTGAACCTAGGCCCCTCCGGTCCTCGGAAGGCAGAGCGGTGGGCACGGCAGCAGTGTTCACATGGTGATGCCAGCGCTGAGCCCTTGTGGCCAAGGCCTGGGTGGGCAGCAGCCCCTAGACACCACCTGGGACTGCGGGGGCCTGTGGGCACCTCCTCACAGAGGGGCGGGGAGGACCATGAGTGCAGGCACCTCAGCCCTGTGTGGTGCGGAGCCCACCAAGCACTCGTCGGCTGCCAGTGAGCAGCGTGGCCCCAAGGGGCTCCTCAGGGAAGAAACCAGCAGCCAGAATCAAACGGGTGATGCATTTCCTTGCCTCCACAAGGACTCCCAGAGCCAGCTGAAGGAAGGCCTACTGAGGAGGAGGAAAGCTGAGCCTGCATCCGCCTGAGGTGTTCTCAGGTGGTACTCGGGTGGTACTCAGTGCCTGCGTGCACTCAGGTGGTTATAAAGTCGTTACTTGCGAGGCAGCATGGACAGCCATAAGGATGGGCAAACAGTGAGCCCTTCAGTCGTGGAAGTTCCCCCGGCCTTGCCCCTGCCCCCCAGGCCTGTGTCCTCATCCCCGGCTGGCTCTGCACAGGGCACCTGTTCCATCTTACAGAGGACCTGGGCACACAGATGGGCAGGCCAGCCCAGCTCCTGGCCTGGTCAGGGGCTTTGCAGTAAACCACCGCCTCGGACGCGGACCAGCCTGGCTGCCTCTCTCCGCACTAGCCTTCCCTGCACGCGGGGGGATGTGCACAGCATGGGTGCTGGGCTGTTCCGATGTTTCTCAGGGTAGGACCTTGCCACTCCATGGCTTCCATGAGCCCCCTTTCTGGCCTCGGTTAGGGCCCCCCAGGCAGGGCTTCAAGCCGCGCATTCCTACAGGGTCCCACATGGGTTGGTGCACAGCACTGCTGCGCCAAGGTCCTCCCCAGGCCCACATGTGAGAGAAGGGAGCTGAGGCTGGCTCTGATCCCCAGCCCCGCCAGAGTCCCTGTGGGAGGCAGCCCCCTGGCCAGAGCAGGAGCCACCTCCCACCACAGGAAAGAGCACGCATGGGGGAACCCACCCAGCTGCCCGCTGGCCAGCATCATGCTGACCTGCACGGCCCATGGGGTCACTTTAAAGTCATAGATTTCTCTCTAAGGATGCCCCTCATGAGCTGGACATAGTGGGACACCTTGTAATCCCAGCTACTTGGGAGGCTGAGGCAGGAGTATTTAGTTTGAGGCCGACCTGGACAAGTTAAGAGACCCTATCTTGCTAAAAAAAAAGTTTAAAGGACTGGTAACATAACTTGGTGGTACAGTACCCTCGGTTCAATCCCCAGTACTGCAATAATAACAATAATAATAATAATAATAACAATAATAATAATAAATACAGTTAAATTAAAAAGGAACGCTACTGGTGGGCCTGGGATAGGGCTGAGAGAAAGCTGGCTGGCTCTGCTCCTGCCCTCCTAGTGGAGTCCTCTGCCACTCCTGTGAGAGCTGCAGGTGAGGCCGAGAGGACCCTGCAGCCCCTCGGCCTCTGGAGATGCTGACTTAGGATTAGTCCAGCACTCAGGACACCTGCAGCCAGTGCCTCGGTCAGCAGCCACTTCTGCCCCGAATCTGTGGCTATGCACCTGCGAGGGGCATCACGGCTGCTAACAAGTGGCTCACGCCCAGGGGAACGAGGGTCTAAATAGCACTCAGGGCTATTTTTTAACACAGTAGGAACAATAATACGTCTACAGATGCTACACTGTCAGGGAAACAACTTACTGGAAGTGCTACATACACTCTCCATGCTTACAACTGGCTCACACCCTGGGCATTGCATACTCCAGGGTAAAGTCCACTATCGCTGCAGATCCACAGGGGAATAGGCTGGTGAGGTGGAGGGGAGAAGCTGTCCTCCCCCAGGGCGGGCCTACAGGATGGAGGAGATGCTGAGAACCAAAGGTAAAGGAGAAGAAGTCCTCTGGAAGACAGGTGTGCAGTGCAGCCACACTCCAGGGGATAGTAGGAGCCCTGGTAGGTCCCACCTACCACCCCAGGACTTGCACCTGACAAAACCACAGGGCATGGATTCCCATGGCAAAACTCTGGTTGTCTTAACTCCGCACTCTAGAGGGGTTGCCAGAATTGCAGGTCACTGTTCCACTTAGGGAAGTGCCTGGCTGCTTGGTCGGCTTATTGTTTGCATTTTTTTTTTTAATTTGTTTGTTTTTTGGGACAGGGTCTCGCCGCGTAGTTCAGGCTAGCCTTGAACTCACAGACATCCTCCTGCCTCGGCTTCCTGAGGATTATAAGCATGGGCCTCCATGCAGAGCCTGAACTGGTGTTTTAAGAAGAAATTTTTATAAATGCAGCCACTGACCCAGGTCACCACTCCTGTGTTTGCAGAGCCCGTACCTGTATCATCTCTCTCCACCACAGATCATTTCCTCTGCTGCCTTTATCAGTCTACATGCCCAGCAATGGGCCCTGTCTCTCAGAGTCTGTGTGCCCTCAAGTGAGAGACAGTCTAGGAAGCAGCAGGCTGCAGTGCCAGGTATCAATCCATGCCACAGAGGACAGAAAAAGAAGCCAGATAGGGTAGGAGAAGGACAGCAGAATGTGGCTTTGCATGGGCTGGAAGAGCAGGAGCCAGAGAACCTCAGGAGCAGGCTGAGGCAGGAGTGTGCAGACGATGCCCACGACATCATGCCCAGGTGAGGGCAAGAGGCAGGCAGGAGGCAGCAGGGGCCAAACGGGGGCTGCTGAGCTGCAGAGCAGGTGCCCTGCTGGGAG